TCTGAGTTTGGCTTCATTGTCAGCCGGGCGACGCCTCCGGGAGCAGTAGCTCACTCGCCGGTCGGCTCCCTGTCCGAGGCGCCCTGGGGTGTGGAGAGACCGGGACGCCCCACCCGCCCCGCGCCCGACGCCTCTGTCTCGCTCTTTCCCAGGTCCGCACGCCCCTCGACTACCATGTCTGCAGCCTGGATCCCCGTTCTCTGCCTCGGTGCGTACGCGTCCTTCCGCGCCCCTTCCGCGCGCCGAGCACTTGTGCAGCCCACCAGCCTCGTGCTCTCCTCTGCTCTCTCCGCAGGTGTCTCGCTGCTGCTGCTGCCCGAGCCCGCGGGCAGCGAGGGAGCCGGTGAGTTTGGGTTCCAGGGTCCTGAAGGAGGGCTTGGTCTCGGCGGACCGAGGTGCCGAGCACCACCAGGTGGCAGCGGGCTCCAGGTCGAGTGCGCTGATCTCGGCCCTGGGCGAGAGGCGGAGGGCGCACGTCGGGGCCCATGATGTGTTCGGCGTCACCAGGTTCTCCGGCACCAGAGGGATCCGGGCTCCCATGCGGTAGAAGAAAGCCGAGCCACTCGCGCGTCCACCCCGCCGCCCTGTCCTTCTGCAGAACCAAAAAGGGAGGTCGAGGCAGAGGTGTTCACTGAGCCCGGTTGCGGGACACAGGAGTCCCAGGGTTTCCGCTGCGCTTGGGTTCGAGGCAAAATCTTTAATAGATTGTCGTACCCAAGAGAGGGAGGCTGGCATTGCTCCACATAAGTGGGTTTCTAGATGCCACCCTTACGAAAAGCAGCTTGGTCCCATTCGCTTGTCACAGTCTGTGTTTTGTTGCACGAGTAGAGGTCTCGGTCTGACGATGTGGTTCTTTGTGTTTTCCTACAATGTAAAAGACAAATTCTTTCCAAAAACCTATTTGTTTTCCCTGAAAAGTAGACATGAGGAGTATTGTACCCGGATGCTTTTCTCATCCTTCCCTCAGTAAAGTTAATGTTAGCAGCTAAAGGCAGTTTCAAACCCAAATTCCTTCCTTGGCCAAATATGGGAGGAGGCTCTGGACCGTTTGATAACAAACAGGAGCCTCCTGTTTTCCGTGGGGATTTTAATTCCCCTAGTTCTCTAGAGGGTTTCTTGAGCTCAGGAGTCAGCCCTGTACGCAGCATCCTCTCTTCCTTTTCCATCTATTTCTCCAGTCCAAAACAGTCCACTGCAGAGTGGCCTTGTTAGAGGCAGCTACTCGGTTGGGCCTTAACCAGACAGTATTCCTCTTGAAAAAGAGAGAGTTGAGAGAGGTTTTTGTTTGTTTGTTTCAAAGAGTTTTGAATAACCTCATTTCCTTGCATTTGGAAATGGTATGTAATAACGTTCGTCTCAATATCTACAGTAAGTTGAAAAAATAATATTTTGTCTTATGTTACCTTGTCACACTTTGCCAAGGGCTTGTCTCTACCCCGTATCTTTTTGGTGAAATTTTTGACTATGTAAAACTTGAGCATGTTAATAGTGCTTCCTAAAAATGCATTCATTGGCTGATATATCTCATTGGACAGATCTGGAGCAGAAATAATCAGGTTCAATTAAGATGAAAATGCTCCATTCTGATGGGTCTTGCTTTCCTGTGTTCAGTCCTTTGGGAGTTGTAGAATTTCCTTGGGTAAATTAACCCTATGGCTTTAATTTCCTCATCTGTAAAATGAACGATTGAGCTAAATAACGTTCTGTGAATTTAAGGATCATTTTACTAGTTTGTTTAAATGAACGTGATTTTAAGGCTCTGTGTTTATAAGATAACTAAGACAAATGGCCTTATGAAGGGAGTAATAACTTAGATTTTTCACATTCCTATGAGTATATTCCATAAAAGCTCAATTCAAATTTACTAGTTTGAATTGCATACGCAGATTTATCAGAGTTGAGATTTTTACATTTCTAGAATCAATAAATGTTCAATGACTCATGTTATTTTCTAGATCTGATGCATTTCCAGTTATGTGCTTTCAAACAGCTAAAACTGAGGAAATTGTGACATTACATTTCTGTAGTGGCTGGGGACTAAATTGCAAAACCTGCTTTTGGCCCGCTAAAATCTGGAATGGTGTGGCGTGGTGCGTAAGCCAGTATTGTTGGTAGAAGTGTAGAGATTAGGGAAGTGAAGCTCCAGTTTCTCTCCCTGATTCCTCCTCCACTACTTCCCCAGAGGTCCCAAGGGTGCTCATCCCGTTCCCCCTTTGTCTTCAGTTCCCATTGCTGTCACGTGCTTCACCAGAGGCTTGGACATCAGGAAAGAGAAAGCAGATGTCCTCTGCCCAGGGGGCTGCCCTCCTGAGGAATTCTCTGTGTTCGGGAACGTAGTTTACGCTTCGGTATCCAGCATATGTGGGGCCGCTGTGCACAGGTAAGCGCAAAGACAGCTGTGGGGGAGGGGGAGACGCAAGCGCACTTATTTATTTCCCCACTTTTAGCCATCTGGGCTGCCTTCCCCCGTCACTTCGCTTTGGCGCCAGTTGTGGTCATAGAAGATGGATGTAATTTCTAAGTTTTTCGGGGTAGCCTTGAAACATCAAATACACAAGGGAAGCTTTCTGACACGGCAGACTGCATTACTTCTTGCTGGTTAGACTCCTCTGGTTCTGAAACAGTCCTAATTATTTCATATATTGTGGGTTTTTTTCCTGTGCATCAGCCATTTTCTTCCACCACAATTCTACACAATTCTACAAGGTAGGTACAATTTCACTCCGTTTTAGAGATGAGGATACTGAACTTAGAGAGTTGTTAAGTGTCTTGTGCAAGTCACAGTGCCACGCCATCCTTCAGTACAATGGCCAGTGTGAGACACTTTTTGAAAAAATACAATCCAAGGACATGTGGAGTATCTTAGGGAACCAACTGTTGGGCATCTTTTATTAATTTAATTTCTGAGTTGTGGGGAATAGGTTAATGTATTTGTATTCTTATCAACACTTAAGAAATTTGACAGCACAAAACCGTTTCCCAACAGGTTTTGTTCCAACGTAGGCAAGTTTTGAAAAGGCTCGTGTTATGCTTAAATGATTTCCTTGCTAAATTATTTTCTTGATTAATGAGAGCAATGGATGCAGGATGACACTGTGAGTCCGTTGGATGCTCTTAGTAGATAGTGTCTCAGTTGTTATTCTTGTGTTGCAGAGGAATAATCAGCACCTCGGGGGGACCTGTGCGAGTCTATAGCCTTCCTGGTCGAGAAAACTATTCCTCAGTGAATGCCAATGGCATCCAGTCTCAGACACTTTCCAGATGGTCTGCGTCTTTCACAGTGACTAGTAGGTACAATTGTTCTCACTGTTGGCAAATATTGCCCCCTCCCTCCCTAAAAAAAAGGCATTCCTTGGCCAAACTTTTTGATTCTAATGGAAAAAGCCGTGGTCAGGAAGAGGTCAACTGTGGGGTACAGCCAGGAAACCAGAAAGCTCACACATCACACAAGCCAAACTTTGGTGAATAAGGGAACAATTTGCTGTGAGTTAGTAGCAGTAGAAATATGAATTGCCTGTAGTGAGAATGCCTGGACATTTACCAAGTAACACTAAACTGCAAAACTAGTGAATTCATTTTTGATGATCCCATTAAATATAATCGATGAGATCCCATTTGGGTTCTCTGAAAGTAGCATGCAGTAACATGCAAATGTTTCTACTGACCATCACTAATACCCTATTACATTTATCATCCAAACTCTAAATTAAGTCATAATGCTATGATGATGAAGAAGGAAGAAAAACATAGACTTATCTTTATTTTAACAGAAGGAAAAACTAGTACCCAAGAAGCCATGGGGCAGGCAGTGTCCACAGCACGTCCACCAACAGGTATGAAACATGAAATCTGTACGTCCTGCTTGCCTTTCACAGCATTTGGAAATTATGAAGAAATATGTTATTGGGCCAGGGATTTAGCTCAGTGGTTCCGCCGCCTGCCCCACAAGTGCAAGGTCCCAAGTTCAATTCTGAGTACAAAAAAATATATATATATATGTATATGTATATATAATTTTTAAAAGTGCAAGGCCAAGTTCAATTCTGAGTACAAAAAAATATATATATATATGTATATGTATATATAATTTTTATCATTGTTGTTATTATTTTGGAACTGGGGATCGAACTTGGAACCTTGAGCTTGCGAGGCAGGCGGCAGAACTACTGAGCTAAATCCCCAGCGCAGAGATATGTTACTGATAGAAGCTTTCCTTTAAAAATACCTGATGGAACAACTTCTCAGGGAAGAAAGAATTATCTTGACTTAGGGTTTCAGAGGTTTCAGTCCACAATCAGCTGGTTGCACTGTGTTAGGCCTGAGTTACGGGAGAAGCACTGTGGTAGACTAAAGCTGCTGCCTCAGGGTGACCAGGAAGCAGAGAGACAGCTAGAGCTTGGGCGGACGGCTCCCTCCTGCTTTCGTTCATCTGGACCCCACTCATGGATAGTGGTGCCATAGTCAGGGCAGGTCTCCACCCTCAGTGTACTGTCCCATGTGCCAATCATTTCTGAAAACGCCCTCATAGACACTTCCAAAAGTGTTCTTTACTAATTTCCCATGCATCTCTCATTCCTGTAAGTCCAGTCAAGATTAAGCCTTACAATAAAGAAGCGAAGTAAATATTATATTCGCCGATGTATTATGCACAGAGATATTCACATTTACATGTATAATTCCTTCTTGTATTTCTTTACTGTGAACGCTGCTGCCAGTTACGCTCTTGAAGCCCCACCGGACTTGACAGAACTTTCCCAGGAACGTGCCAGCGTGAAAGCTTTAATTTGCTTCACCAAATCCCCTTACTGCTCTGTCACACTCAGTGTCTAACTTACTGTCCTATGAATAAAAGGAATAGTGTGTATCTACCATAAAAAATAGCCAGGGGTCCCCTTTTCTAAGACTGTTTAAAAACTTGAGATTAAAATCAGTGAGCACTAAGCTACCTAAATTTTAAGACAAAGTCTAAGTTACTCAGGCTGGCCTCTAACTTGCTATCCTGCCTCAGCCTCCTGAGTATACTACACACACAGCAAGTATGGCCATTTTAAAATCAAAGAAATTAAGAATGTTAGGCTGAGTTGCCAATCTTGTATCAGGTGTGGGTTTGGAATTTTAAAGTCTTAGCTCAGAGGACTATCAAATATGTAGGCCTTCTGTAGTCCCACGTCATTTCATTTTTGGAGCATTGCTTCCCCAGTCTAGAAAACCATGAGGAAATTAAAAATCTTTTCAAGAATGATGTTTCTAATGCCTTTCTATAATCCTGCACTATGAGAGGCTGAGGCAGGAGGGTCTCAAATTGGAGTCCAGCCTAGGCATTTTAGCAACTCAGCAAGATTCTGTCTCGAAAAGGGCTAGGGTGTAGCTCAGTGCAGTGGCCCTGGGTTTAATCTTCAGTACTGGGGAAAAGATATGACACTCCTAGCCAGGTGCAGTGCTCCTCTCCTGTACTCCCCAGCTACATGAGAGGCTGAGACCAGAGAATCACAAGTTCAAGGCCAGCCTGGGCAGCGAGACTGTTTGACAATTCTTTTAAAGGCTTATGGATGTAGCTTAATGGTAGAGCACTTGCCTACCATGTCCCAGGCCCTGGATTTAATCCTCGGTACTGCCCCCGCAAAAACAAAATGTCTCTTTATTGCTAATGTCAAATACCGCTTTTGTTTTAGGCAAACGACTAAAGAAAACATCTGAGAAGAAAGCTGGCAATAAAGGTAAGAATGAGATACCCATTTGTGAAAATAGCATTTCCCCTGCCCCTTCCTGAGATTGCTAACCAGAGGACTTGGTTGATATTCACAGACTGTAAAGCAGACATTGCGTTTCTAATTGATGGAAGCTTTAATATTGGGCAGCGCCGCTTTAATTTACAGAAGAATTTCGTTGGGAAGGTGGCACTAATGTTGGGAATTGGAACAGAAGGACCACACGTTGGCCTTGTTCAAGCCAGGTACCAACTTTGTTAAAATGAGAGTTGGCTGATGTTTTGAAAGACAAATTATCAATCTGATGCATTCACTTTGGTTTAGTACAGTCATGCTGAGTTGTGGACATGGTGAATTTCTAAACTGTAAGTTAAGATTGAAGACTGCCTGGGCAGATGCTTGCCTGGTGTATTATGAGGCCCTGGGCTGGATTTCCAGCATCACAAAATGCTACCTGGGCAGAATGAGTAGATCTGAGGGCCTCCTTTTGAAATAAGAGGATTTAGAGGCACAGACTTGCAGACTGTGCATATGATGAGAAGGTAGATGCAAAAGTCTTGTTGCTTGCATAATCCCTACAGCTACTCTGCTCGGTTCCCAGTTTCTTTCTGAAGGAAGAAACAGTGATATGTCTGTTCCTCTCTCTTCTGCCATTACTCTCCTTTTCAAAGGGCTGTAAGTCTCTTGTATCATCTCATCCTTTAGTATTTTGAGCATTTTCTCATCACAAGTGCTCATCAAAAACTGACATTTCATATATTCCTTCGCATGGCAATTTAACCATTCTTCTCTTGCTTTTTCACCATTGCACATTACACTATGACATTATCCATATATCTTCTTTGCACTTATCTCTGATTATGTCATTAGATTCCTATATATGAGGTTCTGACAATTTTAAATCTGAAATAACTAAATTGCTTTCTGAACAGATGAGTTAGTTTTAAACTACTACCAATAGTATACAAGGGGTCACCAGAACTCCGACAAACACTAATTCATATTTCTTTTTTTATTGTTGTTGTTGTTGTTTGTTTGTTTGTTGTTTTGGTACCAGGGATTGAACTCGGGACCTTGCACTTGCAAGGCAGGTGGCAGAACCACTGAGCTAAATCCCCGGTCCTCATTTGTTATTTTTTTAAATTAGCTCTGCTCTTTAGAGTTTTTCTTTTTGGCGGGGGATGACTATTTAATTTTGCTTTTATATATTTTAACTATTTATCCTTCATTTTACTCTACTGCTTTTTGTGTGTGTGGTGCTAGGGATTGAACCCAAGGCCGTAAGCATTCTAGTAAAGTACTGTCCTGTGGAACTACATCCTCAGCCCTGTAATAGCGTTTTTACACCCAAGTCTATATTCCTTTGATCAATACGCTAGATCTTTTTTTTTTTTTCCAATGGAGTTTCACTAAGCTGGCAGATTGGCCTTGACCTTGTAATCCATCTGCCTCAGCCTAAATAGCTGGGATTATAGACATGCACCACCATGCCCAGATTCTTATGTTGGTTTGCTTTTTTTCTTTTGAGACAGGGTCTCCCCATGTACTTCAGGCTGGCCTCAAAACTCATGGCAATCCTCCTGCCTCAGCCTTCTGAGTGCTGAGATGACAGGCATATGCCACCATGCCTGGCTCTATGCTAATTTGTACATCCTCTGTATACTGTAGTTTGTTTCAAGACAGGTTTTGCTATGTAGCCCAAGCTGACCTTTAAATTGTGGCAGTTCTCCTACCACAAACCTCTGAGTGCTGTGATTATAGGTGTGCACCACTACAGCTGGTCTCTCTCTACTGTTTTGATGACTATAGCTTTATTGAACATTTTAACAGCCCATGAGGAAGTCCTTGTAGTATTTTGTATATCTGTTATATACATGTTTATATGCACATATATTTTTTTCTTTTTAAAAGGTCTTATTGTGTTGCCCAGGCTGGCCTTGAACTCTTAGACTCAAGCTGTCCTCCTACATCAGTTTCCCAAATAGCTAGGAGCACAAACAGGTGCATGCCACCACACCCAGCTAATAGTAAATCTCTTACATGTAATCTTAAGATTGGCAAATGTCATTATCATTTATTATAAGAAAAATTTTATATAATTCAGGTCCTTATAACTTTGTCCTTTTTTATAGTTTTGGTCTTAATATAATTGAAATTGTCCCTTCTGAACAGAGGCCTGGGTTAATAGACTCAGGCTGCTTAGTATATCCAGGGTCCCTCACTGCAGCAGACCTACTCTCAACCAGCTTCCACCCAGGTCCCTGTGTCCAGCTCTGCAGCCTTCCACTAACCCTAAGCCTCTGGGCCAGGGTGGGTTTCAGGTGCTGTGCATACTATTTAGGCATAAACTTTGGAGCCATACAAGCCATACAGTCCAGCTGTTTAAGGTCAGTGATAGTGAACCATGCCAAAGCCATCTGTTTATTATTGAAAGCTCTCAAAGGTTCACCATCACTGACCTAGGTAGGTGCTCTGAGCCTCGGTTTCATTCATATAATAATCAGGAAAATTTGTACCTCAGATACATGATGAGATTATACATGTATTTTATTACCCAGGATATAATAAACCCTCATTGTAGCAATTATGTTGCACTTCTGAAATAGCCCCAGTAATTCAAGTAAGGCAATGCCTTAGGTGACTAGATCCTGAAGGATCAAAAATGAAACTAGTATTGTCTGATTTAAAAAGTTTTTTTTAAAAAACATCTAATGTTCTTTATTTTGCCTGATACTCCCTGGATAATTTTTTTTTTAATTATAGTGAACATCCCAAAACAGAATTTTATTTGAAAAACTTTACATCAGCCAAAGATGTGCTGTTTGCCATAAAGGAAGTAGGTTTCAGAGGGGGTAATTCCAATACAGGTAAGCAAACTTTGACCAGTACATTAAAGAGTTATTAGTGATTAGACATGTAAAACAGTATTATGTCATTTTGTATAAGCAACGTGAAGCTCTTCCTCCCGGCACTAAAATTATCGCTAGGTCTGCATTTGATCACCTGAGATCATTCAATTTTTAATGGAAACTATATACCAAGGAGGTAATTGATAACTATTTTAAAAAATGAAAACACTGTGATATATAATCTTTACATTGGATAGTACTTTAGAGAAATACTTGTTTGTAACACTAAACAGCAGCAGAGATCAACAGACTAATGAATGCAGATGTGGCAGAATTAGAGCACAAGTGACCTCTGAGGAGAATTTTTGTTTTGAGTCCTGAGAGGTACTCCTCAGTCTCCAAGGGGCAGGAGCATGACAAGAGCAAGGGTCAGTTGTTTCTGACTGGTGACTGACATGGGGGGTTAAGGAAATGTGAGGCTCTAGGAGGTGGAAAAGGAAATAGTACAGTTAAGAACAAAAAATAGGACTAAAGGATAAACTTTACCAACATATGTATTATAAACTCAAGTGCCCTATAAATTAATGGTGCCAAATTTCTCCAGGGAAACAGAAATGTCATTTAACACTGTTCAATGCTGGTTTGCTTCATTTTCAAACCTAGGAAAAGCTCTGAAGCATACTGCTCAGAAATTCTTCACGGCAGACACTGGAATGAGGAAGGGGATCCCCAAAGTGGTAGTGGTGTTTATTGATGGCTGGCCTTCTGATGATATTGAGGAAGCAGGAATTGTGGCCAGAGAATTTGGAGTCAATGTATTCATAGTTTCTGTGGCCAAAGCTATCCCTGAAGAACTGGGGATGGTTCAGGATGTTGCATTTGTTGACAAGGTAAGGGGTCAGAATATCTTCAGTTATGGTGGTACTGATTGAACTTTGTACCTCTGGACATAGTACTGAATGGCCTGTAGATTAATTTTGAACACACAAGATTTAATGTTTTCGCAATTTCAGAATTTTTGATCCCTTTAAATATCTTTTATGTATCTCTCCCATTAGGCCGTTTGTCGGAATAATGGCTTCTTCTCTTACCACATGCCCAACTGGTTTGGCACAACAAAATATGTAAAGCCTCTGGTACAGAAGCTCTGCTCTCATGAGCAAATGATGTGCAGCAAGACCTGTTATAACTCAGTGAATATTGCATTTCTAATTGACGGCTCCAGCAGTGTTGGGGATAGTAATTTCCGCCTCATGCTTGACTTTGTTTCCAACATAGCCAAGACTTTCGAAATCTCAGACATTGGTGCCAAGATAGCTGCTGTGCAGTTCACTTATGATCAGCGCACAGAGTTCAGCTTTACTGACTATAGCACCAAAGAGAATGTCCTAGCGGTTATCAGGAGCATCCGCTATATGAGTGGAGGAACAGCTACTGGTGATGCTATTTCCTTTACTGTTAGAAATGTGTTTGGTCCCATGAGGAATAGTCCCAACAAGAACTTCCTGGTGATCATCACTGATGGGCAGTCCTACGATGATGTCCGAGGCCCTGCTGCCGCAGCACATGACGCAGGTGAGGTCCTTTTCCTTTATATGGGAATGGAGCTAAGAGGCTCTATTCTGGAGTAAGTACAAAGTTAATCAGTTATTGAACAGACAGCCTACAGTGTGACAATCAGTGTTCTCAGAGCTTTAACCAACATTAGCCCTAGACTTAATTATCAGAGCAGTCCTATCCATGAGCCAGCTTCCCCAGAATGACCCAAGTGTTAAGTAAAGCCAGGCATTCTGGTTTGAGAGTCCACACTCCTCCCCACTGACTGGATTATTAGAACTACACTGACAACTGTCTTGTGTCCAGGACTTACTTTACTAGTGCTTATGTTTGGTTCAAATTTGGACTATATCCCAAATAAATTAGTCACCTACAACTTATCATTTGATTATCCTAATATTTTACATTTTAGTTTGGCATGAGTTTTCTAAAATGCTAAGGTCTCCAATAAAAGTTTAATTCTATCCCATTGAAACTTAAAATTTTTTTTCCTTCTTGATATAGCACATACACTGGTATCTTAAAAGGGTATTAAGTATAAAATTTCTTCTTTACCCTGTCATATTTGTTTCTGAAATCAAGCCAGCAGAAAGAGTCCCTTTCTGGGGAAGTTACTCAGTAACTTAGCAAAACAGCCTTATATTCTTGGATATTCTGCCATCTTTAATTCCTAATGACTGTTTCATTTCCATACACCAGGACCTCTTATGTATATTATATATTTTTATAAATACTGATGAAATACAGTGGTACCTCAGTTCATGACTTAATTTGTTCTATGATTTTAGGAAAGGTGGCCTCAGTCACATTTGACACCTGATGCAGTTTGCAAACAAAATTCTGCCAAATACTATTTGTGAACCAAATTATCTGCAAAGAATTCATGAAGCAAGGTATCACTGTACTTTTAAGTATGATAGGAAACTGCTACAGGCAATTTAAACAATACATGACTTATAAAAAGTATTTTTTACACATTAGCAACAAATCTGTGTTGAAGTGAAGATTTACATATCTATTGTCACTCTCAAATGTAGCTAACTCAACTACCAGGACTGTATTCAAGCTAAAGTAAACTAAATTCAAATACATTTACCCATCATTAAATTTGAGGACCTTAATGAGTCACAAAAGCTAGAAAACAGTGAGCTTTTAGGGCTAGCTCACACCTTTTTTTTTTTTTTTTAATCTTTAATTATATACTGGGGCTGACCTGAACAATCTAAACTAGATTGTAGAGCTCAAAAGTGAGAAAAACTGACAAGAGTATTTGTCTGGCAGTGGTAGTGAAGAGGCGACTGGCTGGTGGTGATATAATCAAAAATTGTTTCAAGTAGCATTAACTCTTCTAAACCTACTTATATCAGCTTTCTGAAGACTCACTAGAAAGGAAGTAAAATCTGAAATAGGGAAGTGGCTATTTCAGAAACTTGAAAGATATTAAGGGGATTATCACCTAGCAGAAGATAGGTGGTAATCTCCCCTAAACATCTGCTGAACCAATACACTTGCAATCAGGACTGATGTGAATTGTG